ACAAGTAAAGAAGATTATTCCTAGGATAGCTGACTGTAGCCCAGAATACATTTTTATGGCACCATTTTAAGTGTAAAAACTAGTGTCCTGATGGAATGTTGAGATTTATATGTGCTACCATATGAACAGTGTTAAAGTTCATTATCAAATGATAAAGTATTTAGAAGTGTTGGCCAATTAACTGGCTGGACTCCCTAAGGATTCCTTACCCTACATTGTTGCCTTTGGGGGATGCCTGCTCTGATACACTTCACTGCACAGTGGAAGGGTCCATCAGTTGGAAAGGAAAGTATTTGGAGTTTAAGTGAAAATGAATTTAAGGGGTTTTAAGATTGGGGACTTTATTGAACCACTTATCTTCCTTGCTCTTTTCTTGGCATTTGCTCCACTGTGGCCTAAGGTGAATGGAGTCCTTTGTTTTGGTTCATCCAAACTGCTCTCTTTAATGTGTGTTCTGGACCATTCCCAAGAAATGCTGTAGGGTTATTGAGGGCCTGGGATCCGAGGGAGAAACAGCTTGTAGGTGTCAGACAGCCTGCTACTGCTCAGCTAAAAATTCAGGCATCTATGCTTTGCTACAGTTGTAAAACTAGGAACCTTCCCACCTTATAAAACGATAGTTTTTATTAAGCTTTTCTTCTGAATAAAAAGAAAACCTGGGGAATGAGCGTTCTATTTGTCATGCCAGCCACTAGAGGGCAGAATAGTCACACTTCCTTGGACAGGTGTAATTCATTCTGATAGAGCAGGACTACCGTCAGAACACATTTGCTAATGTTTATCAATGTAGGAATTTCTAAAACAGTGAAATTCCTACTTTAGAGTGCATACTAATCAGCAGAGTAATTTGTTAAAAGTGCAGCTTCCTGGGTCCTACCCTCGGAGATTCTCATACATGTATGTTGGATTTTACTTTGAGAAACACAGAATCTTAATGTTTTGGGCATGCATTTTTGCCTGATTATGTTTTCTTTTAGGATTGCAAAGCAAAATGATTTTTGGAGGGAAAAACAATAACAGAAACCAAGGTATAGGGAAATTAGGATGTTGTTAATTTAAAGATCTTTCCTTGCCATTGTCTTATAAGTTTCAGAGGAGACTCACTGTAAAGATTCAGAATCAAAGAAGCTACCAAAAACATGTTTTTGTCTGGAGTTCTATGTCAGTCAGTAAAGATCATCAAATCCTTAGGCTTCAATTCTAAGAATTTTTTAATGAAATATCCTTTTTATGACCATCTTATAGTATAACCTACTTTTTATCCTTTGGGTGACATGAAGACCTATGTCCTAATGTCTTGGTGTTGTGAAGTATAGTTGTGGGGACCTTCTGAGTAGATTTATGTAATTCTGTCATCATCTTGAACAAATAGAGACCTTCCTTTATATGTAAAGATCCAACTATTGTAATGCACATTGTCCTAGTAAGGGTGATGATTTTATTTTTGCCATTGCCCCCAGGGAACAGAGGCAACCTTGGAGTTTTGCCACTGTTCTTAAAAGGACAGAAGAATATGGAAAATCGTTTAAATCTGTGGTAGGATACTGCAGCTTAAAAAATTAAAGAGATAGGAGAACTGAGTAAAATGAAAATTGGTTCTGAAGCTGGGACTTCAGATGAAATGAAATGAAAGGAAGATATTTTATCAGATGTATATAAAAACTGTCTTCTGTGAGTCTCTCATGGGCCTCCTTCTTCTAAGAAAACAAACTTCCACCCTTACATATCTCATATGAAGATTTTCCAGTGTCACTTCCTTCCTCCTTCCTGGTTTTCAAGGTTCTTCTGTGATTATATACAAATGAAAAAGAAAGTTCTATAACCTTTCAAACATACACACGGTTATAAAAATTTAATTTTGAGGGGCACCTGGGTGGCTCAGTCAGTTAAGCATCTGCCTTCGGCTCAGGTCACAATCCCAGGGTCCTGCTTAGCAGGGAGCTTGCTTCTCCCTTTCCCTCTCCCCCTGCTTTTTTTTTTTTTTTTTTTTTTTAAGATTTTATTTATTTATTTGACAGAGAGGGAGACAGCGAGAGAGGGAACACAAGCAGGGGGAGAGGGAGAGGGAGAAGCAGGCCTCCCACTGAGCAGGGAGCCCGATGTGGGGCTCGATCCTAGGACCCTGGGATCATAACCTGAGCCAAAGGCAGACACTTAACAACGGAGCCACCCAGGTGCCCTCCCTCTCCCCCTGCTTGTGCACGCTCTCTCTCTCTCTTTCTGTCAAATAAAATACTTAGAAAAATAAATAAATAAAAATTTAACTTTGAAATTGAGGACTAAAAGTCTAGAATGTGTGAATGGGAAGATGCTCTTTTTTAATGTGTGATTTTATGGAAAGGGGCAGATGCTTTTTTTTTTTTCAGAAATGATGCTGTCTTTACCATAAATTTTAATTAGTAACACTTTTAATTATATATGTTATTAATATGACAGTGTTCCTAAATTCTGATGGTGATGTGAATTATTATACTGAAGTAATCCTCCCAGTAGAAGAACCTCTAAAAGAGGTTCAGTTCCTTGAAAGTCCAGTAAACTTTTAGTAACATTAATCACTTGGGATGCCTATTTGTAGTAAATATCTAGAGCAGATGATGAAATGAGAATTTGTGCATTATAATCACGGAGCTCAGATCCTGTGGTGTTAACTTTATTATAGAGAATTGTTCTGGCTCACATGAGAAATTGAACCCTTACAAAGCGGATGAACTATTCAAGAGCCCAGAGCTTTTCAAACTCTGTTAGTTACAGGTGCGCCAGGAATGGATGTCCCCTCAGCAGATGGGGCAAAGTATTTTCTCTCTGGGCCATTACGTTACAAAGGTTGGGAAGCACTGCAAAGACTTTGTTCTTTCGTTCTTTCTACTTTCTGTCATGCTCCAAAATGTTATGTGTACCCTCTCTTGATTATATCTAAAAAAGCATCTTAGGCAGTAGCATTATCAATGTCTACTTTGAAAAATGTAAAATTAAGTATGTAGTTTCTTCTAAAGTTCTAGCCTAAGGTGACTTAAAAATAAAAATAGTTTTGGGGTGCTGGGTGGCTCAGTCGGTTAAGCATCTGCCTTCAGCCCAGGTCCTAATCTCAGGGTCCTAGGATAGAGCCCTGCAACAGGCTCCCTGCTAAGCCTGTTTCTCCCTCTGCCTCTGCCTCCCTCCAGCCCCTGCTCCTCGTTCTCTCTCTCTTTCTCAAATAAATAAAATCTTTAAAAATAAATAAATAAAAATAGTTTTGAAAAACATTTAGACCGTCATATATTTTGTAATACAGTTGGGTCACTGCCGATTCCCAAGATAAATGTGTTGAAACAGAAGTTTTCTCATTCATCACCAGCCTCAGCTTTCATCCAAATTCATTTAATGATGATGCAAGCCCACAACATTGGTGTTGCAGTTCATCACCATGGAAGTGTTTCTGTCAACAAATCCTCGCTTTGCTATCATGAAATTGATTTTGCAGGGAAAAGGAGGATAATCATGGAAGATTTCTTTTACTTCTAAAGATCTTCACAGTTTGCCTGGGTGTCTAAATGAATTGTGTTTAAAATCAGTAGCTGGCAGTAAAATTGACCAAACTAAATTAACAATTATGAGGTTGGAAAGGGGGAACTGATAATGAGCTATTTTGTCTGATTTTTTTTTTTTTTTTTAATGCAACTTGGGGACCAGATTTGTAATTTAAAATGTTCCTCTGAAAACTGTTGTTCTCTGCTATGGAAATATAGATCATTTTGAAAGAGTCCTTCCTATAAGGTAAGTATCAGAATTCTTAGAATGCTTTGGCTAAATTTTTCTCACTTATCTTGTAAATGGCATAACAATAATCACAGAAGAAATTTTCTCAACTAACATAATGTATGATTTTTTTTTAAATATGCCTTTTCTATAACTTGTGTTTGAAACTATCTTTGGCTTCTATTTGCTTGTTTAGAGGTGGGGGGAAATGCAATTACATTGTAAGCTTCTGAATATAGCCAATTTATAAGCAAGATAGGAAGCACCTACCTTAAATAATCCAAACTATTTTGGGATCCAGATAGGAAAGAAAAACAAGAATGACATTTTTGCTTTGAAGCAGTGTTCAAGAGCATATATCATAGTGGCTGATTTCAGGTTTGGATGCAAATACATAGGTTTTCACCTATAGTAGAAATACAGTCAACTCTTGATTGTCAAGATAACTTGTGTTTTCAAATGTGCTTTTTCTGGCTTCCTGTCACATTTCATTTTTACTTTCACCATCAGCTCATATGTGCTTATAAAAGCAAATTATTTAATTTTATTCACTTAGTGTCAGTAAACATTTATTAAGTTCTCAATATGTGCTAGGCACTTTGCTGGGCACCAAGGATACTGAGATACATCTCAAGCAGGAAGTTAAGTTTGCTCCTGAGAGATCTTACAGTTCACTTTAAAAACAAAGAGACATAAATTTTATTTATTTGAACCACTTCCTCTTCCTCTAATAACGTGTGATCAGAAGTTGACTGTAAATGGGAAGTGGGAAGTAGATCCTACTTGTTTTTAAGGAAGAATTAATAGACCTTGTGAACAGGAAGTAAAATTCTATTATACATGCAAAAATATAACACAAAATGACCAAAAAACAAAATTCAGCAAGCAATGGTAAAAATAACAAATTATTTACTGCTTTAAAATGTTAAAGTATTTCATCAAGACAAGTTGCAGTGAAATTAATGTGAGTTATGGAAAATGAAATACATAAAGATGTATTTATACAAGTGCAGACTAAATATTTTCCATACAGGTATGTAAATGAAAAGATATACAGTAAGTGCACACTTGGTATGACTATTGCAGGCAACACTTAGTTAGTTTCAGATACTCTTGGATAGTTCATGCACAAACCTTCCCAGAGTACAAGTTCAGTCAGTCTTTTGGGGGATGTGGAGGGATAATTAAAAAGGATTGAGTTCCTTGCAAAAATAGCACTATAGACCGGATGAGGGTGAGAATCGTCAGTTATATATATTACTTACTGTAATTTGTGATTGTCGAGGAAGAGGTGTGGCTGTTGGTGTAATAGTAATACTGCTGGTGACTTTATTGGTTGTTTTGTTTAGGGCCCCATTAGTTAAGCCTTGAGTTCGGTTATCCTGTGGTGGTGTTGAAGGGCTGGCAGGTCTCACGGGGCTGGCTACAGCTTGCACGTAAGGACTTCCTAAGTGAATGTGGATTTTATTATCCTCAGTAGTTATCACACTTGAACTGTTGCTGTTTGAACGCTGAAACTGCCATGATGACTGCCGGTCAGGGGAGACTCTGAAAATCGCATGCTTGGCACTGATTTCTATCGGCTCTGGGGAACGTCCCTGCTCAGGAGAGCCTGCTGAACCAGTCACAGCCAAAACCTGAATAGGTGACATTGTCCTTTCTGGAGTTACAGAACCACAAGACTCTGGGGTCTGTGCTCTGGCAAAGGTTGCCATGGTAATTGGGGACATGCTTTGCTCTAAATTCATGAGGCCTTCAGCAGAAGTTTTGGATTTCACTGGTGTTATGGAGGCATTTTGGAGGATGGTTATCCTTTGCTTTGGGGTGCCACAGTTTGGTATCACTGCAGTGCTTGTGTAAGAGTGAGGACTTTCTGTAGTCGGACTTGTGATTTCAAGAGTGGCTGTGTTTTGGACATGGTCTGGAGTAACTTTTATATGAAGTGGCTGCCCAGGCGTGTGGCTTAGGACTAGATCTCCAGGTTGCATGAAGTTGCCATTGGGTTTAGTCTGTATTTTTCCATTCTGAGGATAGCTCTCCTTAGATTTCATCCAAGGAATCCATAGTTTCCTGTTAACAGGACAGGGAGTAGATGAATTGCATTTGAAGGATAGCACAGATTCCTCGTCATTAGGTTCCTCATCCTGGTCCTCACTCTCCTCATACAACTGACCATTGATGACTGCTCGTTCCAGAGGAATGAGACTCTTATAATCGGGTGGCTCATTGTCTCCTACTTCTGTCTGAACTTCTTTAGAAAATACTTGAGGGTCAGAGATGATTCTTCCATTGAGACTAGGCCGGAGGCTCTTACTAAAATGCCGGTACCTCTCTAACTCTTTAGTTAGATTTTCAATCTCTCTTCCTAAATCTCTGTTCCTGTTTTCTTGTTGATTGAGTTTCTTTTGCAGAACTGAATGATCTCCCTGGAGATGACATATTAGGTCCTCAGTTGCCATGTATTCATGAATTTTCTCTTTCAGTGCATCCACTTCTCTTGAGAGGTGCCCTGATTTAGCTTCTTCTTCTTGAAGGCTTTTGAAAAGCCATTGTTCATGGCTGGACTCTGTCTTTTCTGCTAACTTGTACTTATTAAGTTCCATTTTAACATGTTCCAGCTCTTCAGATAAAAACTGAGCTTTATCTCGTTCATTAGCATACCTTCGTTCTAGAGTCTCATACTCATCTTCTGTTTTCATAAGGTCGTCCTCAATGGCTTTCATATCCTTTAACTTCAGTCTCAGTCTTTCCACTTCTTGAGAGAGCTCTTTAATCTTATTGTTTTCTTGGTGTAATGCTGTTGTAGACTTACTAGAATCTTGATTTAATTTGTTTTTTAGAAAATCTTTCTCAATTGCTTCCAATGATTGAAGTCTATTTTTCAGCATATTAACTTTGGACAGGAGATCATTTCCTTTTTCTTCTTCTGCTTTCAGTTTGTTCTTTAGATCATCTCTCTCCTTGGTGACACTGTACATTTTTTCTTCCACATCAGTTTTGGATTTCAGTGCCCTTTTTGTTTCCTCAATTAGCTTCTCAGTAACTGTTGTCACTTTATTTTGCTCCATTTGAAGTTGAGAAGAAGCAGCTTGCAACTTATCTTCAGTTTGCTTTAATTTTTCACTCATTGTTTTCCTTTCATCTACCAGCATCACAGTTAATGTTTTTAGTTTAGTTAAGTCCTCTTTTAGGGTGAATTCTGTCTTTTCCAGCCGACTTTCAATGGCTTCTAGCTCTTTGATCCTTACTTTTAAACTCTCCAGTTCTTGAGACAACTGCTTTGTGGTCATCCTTTCTTTTTCTAAATTGCATTTCAGAGAGTAACATTCTTGTTTGCTTTTGTTGAAGGCATCTTCTAATTTGTCCAGAGCCATAATTCTTTTATTGAGTTTTTCAACCTCTAGTTTGAAGTCTTTACTCTGTGATGTTTCCTTTTCAAGCCTCTTATTGAGATCTCTGCACTGCTCCTCCATTTTTATGAGTTCTTCATCCTTCCCTTCCATTTCTAGCACACGTTTCCTGAGCTCCTCCACCTCAGCCATGATACCGCAGTTTCCATATTCTCCCTTGTTGATTTTTTCTTTTATATCTTGCAGCTCCTCTTCTGCTTTTCGTAAAGACCTGTTTGTCTCTTCTAACTCATCAATTTGCCGGCTGAGTGCTGCCAGCTTTTGTCGAAGCTGGCGATTTTGGCTGTCCTCGTTGGTGAGCTTTGCCATAATTGTTTCTTGGTTCTGGTGAAACTCTGTGGTCTGTGTTTGCAGTTCTTTCTCTAATCTGGTTGCCTTCTGCTCTTCTTCCTGAACTCGGGTTTCAGCGAGGGCTAGTTTAGCATGTGTTTCCTTTGCATTTGTGGTTAGGTCTTGGATTTTCTGTCTTTGAAGGGCAAGCTGTGCTGTCAGCCTTTGTTGTTCGTCCACCACCATCAAAGCAAAAGACTTCAGTTTGGTCAGCTCCTCTTTCAGGGCAGTGACCCTTTTTTCCTTTTCTTGCTCCTTCTTCTCCTGGGACTTGGTTTCTTGGTCAATCAGCTTCTTTAATCTGAAAAATACAAGAGTGCATTCTATTTTGTGATTGGTGCTTCACCAACTTATCAGCTGTGATTAAACATTTGTGTAATTTAAAGATTTTTTATTTATTTATTTGAGAGAGAGAGAGCAAGCACATGAGAGGGGGGAGGGTCAGAGGGAGAAGCAGACTCCCCGCCGAGTAGGGAGCCCAATGCGGGACTCGATCCAGGGACTCCAGGATCATGACCTGAGCCGAAGGTAGTTGCTTAACCAACTGAGCCACCCAGGCGCCCAAACATTTGTGTAATTTAAAAAGATCAATTAGCTATACAGAATATGGAAAGGGATTCCTGAATTTGATTGGAGAGGAGAATCTTGATAAACAGTTATCTTGCTTTTTTGCTTTCACTACTCCCTCTCCCCCAACCCCTTGTTGATTGGTAATAGTTGTAGTTCACCAGGAGCCTTAGTGGAAGAATAAAGGTAAAAAATAGTTGGTTTAAATTGCTTGTGTAACAGAATCCGTAGATAGTCTAGCCTGAAAGCTGTAAAAAAGTTTCAAGATGACCTGGCTTCAATATTGGCCCTACTCTACCAGCTAATTAACCTGGGCAGTTATTTAACATCCTTGAGTTTCAGTTTCCTGATATGAAAAATGGAGGCAATAATTGTATTATCTCAGTGGCCATTTGTGAAAATTCAATGAGATAATTCATCTAAGATTCTCATAGTGCTGGCACATAGTAAGCATTTGGTAAGTGTTAGTTATTGCTGTTGTCCTTTCTTATTAATGTGGCTATGGTTACATTTATAAAATGTTTTGCGGGGAGCTGGGTGGCTCAGTTGGTTAAGGCCCTGCCTTCGGCTCAGGTCATGATCCCACAGGGTCCTGGGATCAAGCCCCACGTCGGGCTCCCTGCTCAGAGGAGAGCCTGCTTCTCCCTCTCGCTCTGCCTGCCTCTCTGCCAACTTGTGCTCTCTCTGTCAAATAAAATCTTTAAAAAAATGTTTTGCTTGAACCATTATAATATGTGGCACATTCAGTTTGGTCCACAATTTCTTGATTCTTGGGAGCCTGGATGGCTTCGTTAAGCGTCTGCCTTTGGCTCAGGTCATGGTCCCCAGGTCCTGGGATCGAGCCGCACATCGGGCTCCCTGTTTGGTGGGAAGCCTGCTTCTCCCTCTCCCACTCCCCCTGCTTGTGTTCCCTCTCTCTCTGTCTCTGTCAAATAAATAAAATCTTAAAAAAAAAATCCTTGATTCTTAATTGAGATAAAATTCTATTCACATTGCTTAGAAGTTACACACTTCACTGATGGACTTCTCTGCCAATTAAAACTTGGTTTATACTAGCATAACATTGTGCCAGGAATCACTCACCTCACATATATCTTTATCCCCATAGCGACTGGCAGTTGAATGAGGGGAATTGAGAGGCATCTGAAGGGGTTTAGAGTTTTCATAACGTACAGCAAGAGCACAGGATTTAATAGGAAAGAGTTTATTGATTAGAGTCAGATGCTAGAAATGATGGAAGAAAAACTATCAGGAATATGATGATTCTATTATAATGTTACTTAATGTTTTAAATTTGTTGGCATAAAAGGATGTCTATTTACATGTAATATAAATTATCTCTTCCACACACTTTTCTCCTCAGCAGTGAGGTCATAGCTTTAAATTTGTGGCACTCTTAATTACATTGGAATGGGCTGATTATAGAGGATATAATTACAGCTTTGCAATATTGTTATACAGAAGCTAAAATAGAATGGAATTCCTGAAGAATTGAACTAAAGGACTTGTTATGGGTGAAAAGTTTGTTTTCTGATCAAGCAGAGAGAGTTCATAATATTTTACTATATCTTTTCTATTAGGAATGAGTTACTTACCCAATGCATGTCTTTGATCCTTACCATAAGACTTTCTTTTGAAAGTTGCTTAAGGATTTGTAAGGACATTTTAAAAGGAAACTGATTTGAAAGAGTCTTCTTGGAAAAGTCTTTCTTGAGATCCTAATCTGATCTTTTCCTTAATTATACTACATAAGAGGAGCATGTTTAAAATAACAGTATAATGTAAGAATTCCCAATTTTTTTTTTGTGGGGAAGAGCCACTTTATTTTTTCCTGTTTTGAGAACCTGACAGGAGGCTGGTCCAAGGACTGCAGCCTGTGAAATTCTAAAGAAGCTGAGATGGATGCTGGGGTGGAGTTGATGAGCTCATCCACAGTCTTGGCAAGAGGCTTGCCCATGGCCTCTGGCCCTTTCCCACTCCCTATTTGAGACACCTGAGAAGAGAAAGATGGCGTCTCCTTCCTGAATGGTCATGAGACTTCACAAACCACTGGTAGGTACGTCCACAGGCAAACTGCTTTGGTGGTGAAATAGTTACAAAAACTTTGGCAAAGTGTTTCTTCCTCCCACCTTAGCATTTGAATTATATATATATTTTTTAAGATTTTATTTATTTATTTGACAGAGAGAGACACAGTGAGAGGGAACATAAGCAGGAGGAGTGGGAGAGGGAGAAGCAGGCTTCCCGCTGAGCAGGGAGCCCGATGCGGGGCTCAATCCCAGGACCCTGGAATCATGACCTGAGCCGAAGGCAGATACTTAACGACTGAGCCACCCAGGTGCCCTAGAATCATATTTAACAATGCTCTGAGCATAACTGCAGTGAAATATTTTCCCCTCTTTACATCACAGTTCTTAGAGTTTTATTAGAGAATAGCTTCACAAAAACTTTTCAGGATTTGTTTTCAACTTATTAAGTAATACCATGTGCCATTTCATTTTCAGGAGAAGGACATGTATTTTCTTAGGATATAAAAGATGGAAGATTATTTTGCAGTGTAATGAAAAAAAGCATAAAAATTGAATGGTGATTAGTGAATCTTGGCAGAGCTATAACTGGCAAAAAAAGATTTTGAAGAAGTTTAAATTGTTTCCATTGTGTTCATTGTTTTTGGCAGCAAGCATGATGCATCTTTTTCATCATGGTTGCAAGGTCATGTATCTTTTTGATGGTTTCTGGAAATCAGCTGGCATCCCTTTCTGTTCCCAAGCCCCCATCCTACAAGGTAGGCACATAAAACTGGCAATCTGAATACATTTGCTCTCAGTAATTCCTTACTACTTATTTCCTAACAACCTGCTATTTCCCTGGGCCAGTCCCATGAGCACACCATAAGACAGTCAACAGGCTAGTCAGGTAAGGCCTGTCAGGGAGGGAAATAGTTTATATGCAGAAAGAGTTATACTCCCAACCATCAACTCAGGAGCTTAAGGCCAGCAACCAGTGAGAACTGAGTATAGGAGAGAGGCCCTGATAGAACCTTCTCAGAGCCAGTGGGTGCCTGTAATGCTATTACACACTGTGTGTGTGTGTGTGTGTGTGTGTGTGAGAGAGAGAGAGAGAGAGAGAGAGAGAGAGAGAGAGAGGCTGATTATACTACTGAATTGGAGTTAGCACTTCTGGTATAGTCAAGGGGCTTACCCTAAATCATTCACTATTTCTTGCCTTATATCAAGAAGGTTGAGTTTGAATCTGAGGTTAGTTTACGGACTTGAAGAAAGGCATTTCTATGCAAAGTTAGCAGGTCCTTATAGGATTTGAAGCTGCAAGCCTGGCTTATACACAGTGCCCTAAATAAGGAAACTGATTGTCATACTGCTAATTACTAATGTAGGGATTTGTGTGTGTGTGTCTTTTCTTTTTTCAAATGTATATGAATGCGTTCAGCGAATATTTGCTGTTGACTGTATTTTAGTCACTTGAGGTCCATAATCATGTATCCAAAACTTTTGAAGCCAAATGTTTTCAAAATTATAGTTTTTCATATTTTAGAAAGGCAGTAAGGAGCATCTATCATATATAACAGCTCCAGCAAGGCCTGTGGCACCACCTCCTAAGCAAACCTCTGAATACTTCTGCAGTGAACCATGTGAATAGTTACACTAAGTGGGATAATTAAGATAATGAATAGCCTCACCTGTATTCAGGCTTTGCTGCCAGATGATGAGTTCAGATAAGAAGTTCAGCCACAATTTAGAAAAGAATATTGCATAGTTCTTAGATTTTTGAAAATTGCAGACAAGGGATTGTGGATGTGGAAAATGAAGGTATAGACTACTGGTGTCTTTTGGTAAGGGAATGGAATTGAGGGTCCTATGCCTGCTTTCTTCTGCAGTTGGATTGGGTTTTAAATGAAATAGCACCTTAATTTTCTGTCTCCATTATTTTTCTTTGCATAGTAACAGGTTTTAGGCAGTGATGCTGACTGATTTTATGTGCTAATATGGATTATCACTGACTCTGGGTTTGCTAGCAAAAGCAGATAAATGATTTTCATGGTCTTGAAAGCTGCATAGACCTTGAGATGCAGAATGCCCAGATACAAAATTCATCCCTTCAGAGCTGTATAGTCAAACTATTGCTCCTTTTCTCATGAATAGTTCCAATTAACACACCTTTATGTAGGGATCTTTGCATAATCTGTGCTAGGGTTTCTCTAACCTTAGCACTATTGGCATTTTGAGTCAAATGATTCTTTGTTATGGGGGGGCTGTGCTGTGCATTGTAAGATGTTTAGCAGCATCTTTGGTGTCGACTCACTAGATGCCAGTAGCAGCCCCCCTCTCCCCACTGACAACCAAAAATGTCTCTAGACATTCATTGCCCAGTGTCTCCTGGGGCGCGAAATCACACCTAGTTGAGAACAGTTGAGTGTGTGTGCTTATGGACATTTATATATGTCAGTCTATCATTAGAGTTAGACACCATCATTTTGCCTTAGTCAGCTCTAGTTAAGCAGGGGCATCAGAAAGTTCCCACCTGAGTTATAGCTATACTTGGTGATTATATCTTCCCTGCAAATGGCCTATTCATTATCAGTGCTTCTCACAGTTTAAGGTGCATTTGGATCACCTAGGAGTCTTGTTAAATTTCAGCTTCCAATTCAGTAGATGGGGATGGGCCTCAAATTTTGCATTATATGAAGCTCCCAGGTGGTGCCAGGATGGACTATGG